ACTGCCGATTTCTGGGATTTGTCACTGGAATGGATGCCTTGTTGTGATTCCCGCATTCTGCTGTGGTCCCAAGTCTGTGTGTGTGCGTGCCTGCTGGTTGCATGCCTGTCTGAGTGCTCGCTGGTTGTGTGTGTGTGCGTACATGCCTGTCTGAGTGCTTGCCGGTGGGGTATGTGTGTGTTTGACCCGCAAGGGTACTTGTTGGTTGCAAGGCCCACCGGGCCGGTACTTACTTGTGGCCGTGACTCTGGAGGGTTGCAGGGGGGTAAAACACGCCGGTAGCGGGAGATAGGCCCACGACACTTAGAGCAGTTGGGGAAAACACTCAAGTAGCAGGTAGGCCGAGCAGAAGAAGACAAAAAGTTGGCATTTTTAGAGGTCCAGTAGCGGTAGGTTGGGGGTAGGCCGGTACCAGTCCAAGTAGCCCGGGTCTAGGGCCTGTGCGGACAATAACAGAGCCTGCAATGATGTTTCCCTCCAAAAGGGAGGAGGTACCGGTTGCCTGGGAGGCCGCTTGGCCTGGAAAGTCACCGCCCAGGAGGCCGGTAGGCCACTATATCTTCAGGAAGAGCGGAAGGCTCTTCCTCATTTGTGGTATGCAAGGATTGGCGACATGCTGCTGGAGCACAACGCTGGTCTGAGGCAGCGCTGCTTGGAGGTGAAGGTCCGCTGGGGCTCAGCCTGGCTATGGCGAGCACCCCAGCTTGAAGGAGGAAGAAGGGGGACATGGTAGGAGAGTGGTAGGGCACTTACCTGGCTATGGTGGACACCGTCTTCATCACCTTGTTGGGCGCTGCATCTGGAAGGCCCCAGTTGGGGTAGCGCTGCACCAGGGCAGCTCGAGGCAGRGYCAGGCATAGCGGACCAAGTCAAGCAGCGGCATAGCTGCTTTGGGTTGTCTTTTGGACATCAGGGCAGCACCATAGCTGCCACCCAGTAGTCCGCCATGGCCTATGCATGAAAGAGGAGGTTGAAGGAGGGAAGACATAGCCATGGTGGACTTGTTGTTGTTGTTGTTGTTGTGAGTTGAGTCAGCAGTAAGGGGGAACTTCGGACCTTGATTCTGGTTCATCCATTCATTGTTATTATTATTATTGAGGGAAGACTAAGATTGGTGAAGAGGAGGAAGGAGGAAGGTGGAGAGAGAAGGGGGAATTGTCATTGGTCTTGCTGGTGTACTTCTTCTTCTTCTTCTTCTTCTTCTTCTTCTTCTTCTTCTTCTTCTTCTTTACCTCTCCTCTGGTCTTTATCTCCTTGCAAGTGCTTTCATTTCTTTCGCAATTGGGTGGCATTGTCTTTCATTGTGAATTTGCACTTGGGAAATGACCAGGATCGTAACAATTGGTATCGGAGCGGACTTACTTGCTGGCGAGAGGTGTTAGTCACCCTAACCCTAATTCCGAGTTAGGTTAGGGCTCACCTAATCTCGGATTAGGGTTGCAAGTTAGGGTTAAGTGGGGCAGCGAGGTATGGGGATGCTGCCCCCACCTGGTTAGGTCATGTAGGGTCGACATTGGACCCAACCAGGTTGCTTGAGTGAATGTATGGGGTAGCGAGACACAAAGGAGGCTGATTGGAGTAAGTGAGAGGGAGTAGAGAGTGAGAGGTACTCGCACCTGGATTCTGGACTTCAGGAAGACATTGAGTGACTTTTGGGCTTCCCCTCGAGAGGGAGACTTGATCGGAGGCTGCCTTATCTGCATCGGATTGCTGCAAGTTGCTACTTTGGTCTTCAGGCATCGACGGGGGATCCGGCTTTGCAACAGGTGTGTAGGAAGGCCCTCTTAGTCATGCTAGGACACTTCGTGTAGTGGTAGCTAGGGGTCAGGACTTATATGAGAGGGGAGTGACTCGTTATCCATCTTTGGAGGCCGGGCCTCACAGGTAAGTGCCGTGTGACCTGGGTAAGCCCGTGGGAGGTTGCTTGGTGCTGCATGACCTGTTGGGGGTGTGCTGGGWTCTCTTCCCMTTCTCTGCAGTYTTGGTTGTGTGTGTTGAGCATGTGGATTGCTTTCTCACCTGATGGATGAATGGATGATGTATCTTGTTCTAAATGACTTATCTTTCTACAGTGCATTGTCTTTTCACTTCTAAACGGTAGTAGGGGTAAGTTCTTGCTGAAAAATGTCTTTTCCTTTTCAGTACGGTAGAGACAATTTGGGTCTGACTTGGTACCCCTGTCTCGTTAGACCTGGTCCACGGCCTACTCGGGAACACTTGGGACTCAGTGGGACCAGGCCCAACGGGACAAGACCTTCGGGCCCAGATCTGTTGTCGTCAGTGCATTACTTTGCTGTGCTGAATCTGGGGGACACTCGGACAGCAAGGGCATTCCTTTCAAGGGGATCTTGACTGGTCGTACCGCGTGTGATCACATACTGCCCCGCGTCTGACTCGGCGACCATCTGCACCCCTCGAAATCTCCATTGCTGCAGTTAGTCTTCTTCGTCTGATTTATTGTAATGACACGTCCTCTGTCAGGTTAGACAAGAGGGGATCTCCAGCTGATCTGATCGGGCCCGTTTTATAAATTAGACCTCTCTGTTGTTTTATTTTTTATTTTATTTTATTTCTTCTGCTGCGTGCCATGTTCTCAGTCCAAACGATTCGCCGCTCCGGCTAGGAGTTCTACCTTCTTCTCTGAGTGGTTTTCTGTTTGTTTCTTTGGCCTGAACTACCTATGTCCGGTGTTGAGACGCGTGCGCAGACAGCGACAAGAGAGGAAAGGGAGAGTGAGGGTGTGCTGTTTGAGAGTGTGAGGAGGGGCAAGAGGAGTGTTCGTCCAAACGTAAGGAGAGAGCGGACCCCTCTTGAGAGCACTACTGACATTCCTTCCTCCAGCATGGCGGTCATCACATTTGACCAATGGCAGGCCATGCTGGACGCAGCAGACGAGAGTTAGAAACCGTTCTTTCAAAAACTGTATGATGATGTCGTACAGAGGGAAAGGGAGGCGGAGGCAGCAACAAGAGCTACGAGTATAGCTGCCCAGGAGGCCCTCCTACAGGTTCTGGAAGCCAATGCTGACCGGTTCCAGGAGAGGCTAGCTGCTGCCGTCGCAGCCTTGGTCTGGCTGCGGAACTTGGAAGATCTCGAGTCCCGTGTGACAACACTTCAGCAGCGGAACCAAGAGCTGCAGGCTAAAGTAAATAGCCTTGAACAGTCCCAACTATCTGCCCCCCGCCCTCCTAACTCTCGATCTGTTGTAATCCCAGTCTCTCAGTCCAGCACAACCCTCGTTCCAAGGGCCAGCGGAACTGTGGCAAGTGCAGGAACCGGTGCCAGCTCCTCGAGCGGCAGCACCGGCAGTTCTGCACTGGTCACAGTCCCAAATGCATGGACTTCAGCCCAAAACGCAGCAGTTCTTACTGGCGTTCAGTACAGCGGTCCCATGGTGGACAAGGGGGCGCCCACGCTGCCGTCCAAGTACGACGGGAAGGCTGACATCACCTCTTGGATTAGTTCCATGAGGTCATACTTCGAGGTCATGCGGACACCGCAAGAGAACCGAAGTATGATCATGGGGACTAATACCGAGCCCGCCGTACGCAACCACATTGAGCTCCAAGCTGTTGTTGCAGGCTATGAGCGCATAGACCTGACTGAATGGCTGAAGGTTACCCCTGTCCACGCTCTTGAAGACCTTCTCCTTGACCGGTATCAGGATAAACACGCTGCGCTCAAGGCTAGGCTGAAGCTTGAGGCCCTCAAAGGCCAAACATGGAGGTCATCCATGCAAGCTTTAGAACAGCACTTGACAGGTCTATTCACCACTCTGGATCTGGGGATGACTGACGTGTCTTGCATGGATGTAGTCATGGGAGTGGCCCCTAAGAATACCTCTCCCTGCTAGCACTCAAAGACCATGCTACCTGGCGAGAGCTCATGAAGGATCTAGTCAACCTAGAGGCCAAGGACCTCGCCAGGCGCAAGAAGGCGCCCGCTACAGGTGGGAAACCACAACGCAAGCGGTTGGGAAGCAGCAACCAGCTTGCACTGCATGACCATCGAGAGGCTGAGGAACAGTCCTATGCGGATGATCTGTCTCTGGATGATGATCTAGAGCCGGACTCCGATGCGGGCTGTTCTGCATCAGCCATTGAGTGTGACCGAAACGACGATGAAAAACTTAATGCATTCAAGAAGACTGCTTCAAATAAGGGGCCTAACCGTGGTTCGGGTAAGGGAACAGTCATACACCTTCCCAAGAATGTTAAAATCCCTGAGAAACCGGAGGACGCTTCCACCAAACCTTGGGAAGCCCTCCGCATCAGCCAAAAAGAATGGGAAAGAAGATCCAAACTGCGCGTATGCTTGCACTTATTTCTTCTCTCCGAACGGAATTTGTAAGGCGGGCCTGGGTATGAAGCAAGTGGAACTGCAGAACCCTTGTCGGACTCAGGTGGGCAACCAAGAGGTTGTCACTTCTACTCATGTTGTCAAAGGTGTGCGCATCACCTTTGACAAAGATCGCACTGTCACACATGAGCTAAATTTTTATGTCTTGGACAAGTGTCCGTTCGACGCGGTTATTGGCTTGGGCTGGCTAAAGGCTCATTGCCTAAGGACCACATGGGCGGACAATCAGTTCGTGGTTCTCGATGCCGACGGGAACGAGCATACCGTCTTACTAGACGAGACGCGCGAGTCCCCTGTGACTCTTCTAAGTGCAAACAAATTTTGCAGGTCAGTGCGCAGGCGCAAGGAGGCTGAGTTTGTACATATAGCTCTTGTAAAGCCTTTCCATGTGCCTTCTACTTTTGCTGCATTTTCTTCTTCTGAAGGTAACTCTACTACTTCTACTTCTGTTCCACCCACTTCTGCTGTAAATAATCAATCTAATTCTGATCCGAATGCCTCAAAACTGGTTGTAATTGATGTTAATTCCCAATCTGATTTTCTCTCGCCTGATGAGGATGCTCCTCCACCCGAAATCCCAGCAAACATTTGCCTCCTATTAGATCGATTCCCGGAAGTGTTGGCTGAACCGCGCGGAGTTCCCGAGCGTCCAGTCAAGCACAAAATCGAGATAATAGAAGGGAGTATTCCTCCAAAGGGCTGCGTCTATCGTATGGGACAAGGCGAGTTGGAGGAGCTGCGGAGACAGATCGATGACATGATTGACCGTGGATGGATTAGGCCTAGTGAGTCTGAGTTTGGTGCCCCTGTCCTGTTTGTACCGAAGAAAGGAGGCAAGCTCCGAATGTGCATTGACTGTCGTGGCTTGAACCGAATCACTAGAAAGAATGCGTACCCTTTGCCTCGCATAGATGATCTGTTGGATGCGGCCGGTGGTTGCAAGGTCTTCTCCAAAATTGACCTAAAGTCTGGCTACCAACAGATTGAAGTCGATCCGAGTGACCAGCACAAAACCGCGTTCAAGACACGCGATGGGCTGTACGAATTTATCGTTATGCCCTTCGGCCTTACGAACGCACCAGCCACATTTCAGTCCCTCATGGACAAGGTACTYCGCCACCAACTTAACAGGTTTGTGGTTGTGTATCTTGATGACATTCTGATTTTCAGCAAGTCCATGGAGGAGCACGTCAAGCATCTTGAGGAGGTCTTGCAAGTCCTCAAAGATGCTCAACTGCACCTCAACTTGGAGAAATCTGAGTTTGGCAGGGACAGCGTCATCTATCTTGGGCACCGGTTGTCTGTGACCGGCCTTGAGCCGGAGGCAACCAAGGTTGAGGTCATCCGCAACTGGCCTCAACCGGCAAATGTACGCGAGCTGCGTTCTTTTCTCGGGTTGGCTTCTTACTACCAGAAGTTTGTGCCTAAATTCTCTGTCATTGCTCATCCACTCTCACGCCTGACTAGTAAAAATGTTGTCTACGCATGGTGTGAAAAGTGTGAGACTGCGTTCCAAGCCTTGAAAGAGGCTTTGGTGAGTCATCCTGTGCTCCGCATTGCGGATCCCAACCTCACGTTCGTAGTCACTACGGACGCGAGCCAGTTTGGGATTGGTGCAGTGCTGCAACAAGATGATGGCGATGGCCTGCATCCGCTTGAATATTACAGCAAACGCATGCCCAGCCACAAGGTAGTCACTTCCACATACATGTGGGAGTTCTACGCCTTGCGCGAGGCGCTCACGCATTGGAAGCACTATCTCTTGGGTCGCCACTTCAAGGTCTACTCAGATCATCAGACCTTGCAAGGGATTAAGACACAAACCGATCTTTCTCCAACGCTGACCCGCTGGTTGCATGATATTGATGTCTTCGACTTTGAATTGAAGCATAAGAAAGACTGCTATAATTGTGTTGCTAATTCTGTATCGTGCCATCCTGAGTATTTGACTTGCCTGGTGGATTCGTACCACCTCCGCAGGAAACTGAAGGAGGATCTGATCGAACACACCGCCAGAAATTCCGGACGTTAGTCCCATCCTTGAGCAACTTAAGGCTGACCCCAACAGCCAGCCTGATTTTCACGAATGCGATGGTCTTGTATTCCGCCGGTACGGAAAATTTGATCGCTTGTGTGTTCCTAACCATGCGCCTCTCCGGAATCATTTTCTGGATTTGGCACATGGTCGGAGTGGGCATTTCGGCTTTGAGAAGACTTATGGCAGTCTTCTCCAGCAGTTTGATTGGCCGGGAATGAAGGGATCTGCTCAGAAATTTATTGTTGAGTGTCAAGTATGTCAGAGAACCAAGGTCCACAGGCATAAGCCTTATGGCCTGCTGAGACCTCTCCCAATCCCTGATGGCCCTGGGGAATCAGTCTCTATCGATTTCACGGACATGGGGAAGGTGAGTACGGCAGGGAATTCACAAGTCATGGTCATTGTGGATCGCTTCTCTAAATTTCTGAATCTGATTCCTCTACCTCCTCATGCACCGACTGAACTGGTGATCGAAGAGTTTCACCAGCAGTACATTCTGCAGTATGGCCCCCAGAAAACTCTTGTGAGTGATCGAGACACCAGATTCATCAGCAAGGATTGGAAGGACTTCACTGCCCAGATCTATGACATCAAACTGAACATGACTTCTGGCCGACACCCCGAAGCCAATGGATTGGCTGCCTGCAATGATGTTTCCCTCCAAAAGGGAGGAGGTACCGGTTGCCTGGGAGGCCGCTTGGCCTGGAAAGTCACCGCCCAGGAGGCCGGTAGGCCACTATATCTTCAGGAAGAGCGGAAGGCTCTTCCTCATTTGTGGTATGCAAGGATTGGCGACATGCTGCTGGAGCACAACGCTGGTCTGAGGCAGCGCTGCTTGGAGGTGAAGGTCCGCTGGGGCTCAGCCTGGCTATGGCGAGCACCCCAGCTTGAAGGAGGAAGAAGGGGGACATGGTAGGAGAGTGGTAGGGCACTTACCTGGCTATGGTGGACACCGTCTTCATCACCTTGTTGGGCGCTGCATCTGGAAGGCCCCAGTTGGGGTAGCGCTGCACCAGGGCAGCTCGAGGCAGRGYCAGGCATAGCGGACCAAGTCAAGCAGCGGCATAGCTGCTTTGGGTTGTCTTTTGGACATCAGGGCAGCACCATAGCTGCCACCCAGTAGTCCGCCATGGCCTATGCATGAAAGAGGAGGTTGAAGGAGGGAAGACATAGCCATGGTGGACTTGTTGTTGTTGTTGTTGTGAGTTGAGTCAGCAGTAAGGGGGAACTTCGGACATTGATTCTGGTTCATCCATTCATTGTTATTATTATTATTGAGGGAAGAATAAGATTGGTGAAGAGAAGGAGGAAGTAGGAAGGTGGAGAGAGAAGGGGGAATTGTCATTGGTCTTGCTGGTGTACTTCTTCTTCTTCTTCTTCTTCTTCTTCTTCTTCTTCTTCTTCTTTCCCTCTCCTCTGGTCTTTATCTCTTTGCAAGTGCTTTCATTTCTTTCGCAATTGGGTGGCATTGTCTTTCATTGTGAATTTGCACTTGGGAAATGACCAGGATCGTAACATGTGTCTTCTTATGCACGATCAGCCTGCCAATCGAGAAATCACAATCCGCAAACGCGATGGCGGATTTGTCCCAATCGCCGAAACAAACCGTGCTTTCGACCCTCTTCATTATGTGCTCCTCTTTCCTGCTGGCGAAGACGGGTGGACGCCTGACACCGATGACGACCCCGAAACAAACAATCAGTCGGCTACAGCACGAGAATTCTACGCTTTCCACTTAAACACATGGCAAACAGAAAGAACAACGATCTTCCACGCAGCCCGCCTTTTCCAAGAATACGTCTGCATGGCATTCGCTAAAATTGAAAGTGGTCGCCTTCTGTACAACCGCCTTCACCAAACGCAAATTCGTGCCGACTTCTACCAGAATCTTCGAGATTATGTTATGCAATATGACCATGCCGAAAATGTTGGTCACCGAATTGTCCTTCCCGGAATATTCACTGGAGGTCCACGCGACATGCATCGCCGATACCAAGACGTAATGGCAACCGTCCAAGAATTTGGGGCGCCATACCTTTTCTTGACTTTCACATGTAACCCGCACTGGCCCGAAATCCAAACCGCCCTCTTCCCCAACCAACAGCCATCCGACCGACCAGACCTTCTTGCACGTGTCTTCAAAGGCTATTTGCGGCAACTCATTCGCGACACACAGTCCACGCACATATTCGGAGCTGTTACAACGTATACATGTGTCATTGAGTTCCAAAAACGCGGTTTGCCGCATGCCCACATTATCGTGACTTTAAAAGATGACCACAAAATTGTCACCCCTGAGCAAATCAACGCTGTGGTCTGCGCTGAGCTTCCCACTAATCCTACTCTGCAAGAACTCGTGCTCACTCACATGATTCACAATCCGTGTGGCACACACAATATCCATGCTCCCTGCATTCATAACGACCGCTGCACATGGTTTTTCCCTAAAGATTTCTCCGACCGCACAACGTGGAACGAAGATACTGGATACCCGATTTACAAACGGCGTGCACCTGCTGACGACGACTTGGTCGTCGCTCGTGGTGACACCGACCTTGACAATTCTTGGGTTGTCCCTTACAACACTTACTTGCTACTCCGGTATCGCACACACTTCAACGTTGAGATTTGTGCATCAACTGCCGCATGCCGGTATATGTTCAAGTATATTCTCAAAGGGCCGGACCGAGCAATGGTGGCCGAGGCAATAAACACAGAAGATGAAATCCAAGCCTACCGAGACATGAGAACAGTTGGCGCTGCCGAATCATGCTGGCGAATTTTTGATTTTCCTATGGCCGAGCGCTACCCTCCTGTTTCGCCCCTCCCTGTCCATACTGAAAACCGACAACGCGTGTATTTTCGCAACCACCAAGCTCAGCGCATCGCACACGCCCCGGCACCCGAAACGGAGTTGACGACATGGTTCAAATAGAATGCCGCGCATCTGGACGATCCTGATAACACAAAACCCCTGTACAAGGACATGATCCAACGTTTTCGCTTCGACAAACCCACAAAGTGTTGGATCGTCCGCAGCCGCAATGCAAACACCATTGGTCGCATACACACTATCCACCCGAACGGAGGAGACACCTTCTACCTCCGAATACTCCTCCTATCACCTGACTCCCGCGGCACAACAAGCTTCGAACACCTTTGCACAGTCGACAACGAAATTCATCCAACATATCAATCCGCATGCAAAGCACTTGGCCTATTGAACGACAACACACAATTCGATGTTGTTCTACAAGACGCAATCCTCGCCTCACCGTCAGCCATGGTTCGAGACCTCTTTGTTCACATCGTTCAAATGACAGATGACTTCCACAGGAATCTTGTCGACGCAGTTGTTCCACCCTCGATCATCAGAGCGTTGGTCCTCCTTGACATTGAAAGCCGCTTACAAAAAAAAGGCAAAGAATTGGACGATGTTGGGCTCACGCCTCCCCCACCGGCAGACAGAGAATAGGCTAATGACCTCGCCGAAAGGCTGTCATGCCAGGGCATCCCGCGAATCATCGATGACGAAATTTCGTACCCCAAAGCAGAACTTCGACACACCCTTGACTCCAATCTCCCGCAATTGCGCCCCTCCCAACAGGCAGTCTTCCAACGCGTCATCCATGCTGCCGAAAACAGCGAACCACTCTGCATTTTCGTCGACGCGCCCGCCGACACAGGTAAAACCTTCTGCTTCAACACAATACTCGCACACATTCACCTCCATGACCAAGTTGCACTCACCATTGCTTCAAGTGGCATCGCAGCTACTCTGTTGGACGGAGGCCGCACTTTCCACTCTCGATTCAAAGCACCCCTCACCCCCACCGCCACCACCACCTTGGACATTCCCAAACAATCTGCACTTGCACAGCTTATACGCATGGTTGTTGTTATCCTCTGGGACGAGGCGCCCATGACGCACAAATTTCAAATTGAAGCATTAGACAGAACCCTACAAGACATTTGTTCATCTCCCCTTCCCTTGGGCGGCAAAGTCGTGGTCTTAGGTGGCGATTTCCGACAAATACTCCTCGTTGTCACCAAAGGTACACGTGCACAAACGATTGACGCGTGTATTAAATCTTCCGCTTTGTGGCGACATTTCCACACAATGCATCTGTCTGAAAATATGCGTGTCCTCACACAAATTGACACTGCTGCCGGACGGGACTACGCTAAATGGCTCCTTGCACTCGGGAATGGCGAAATCGAACATGCACATGATACCCCTCCCAATACCATTCTCCTCCCTGCTCATCTCTGTCTCCATGGAGGAACATCGGAACTTATCAATTGGACATTCCCTGACCTCCAACATAATTTTGAAAACCCCCAATGGCTCGCAAAACGTTTAATCCTCTCGCCCAAAAACAAATCAGTCTCAACCCTTAACAACATCATTCTCGATTCGTTTCCTGGCCCTGTCATCACCTCCCTCAGTGCTGACTCGCTACTCCCTAACGAAGATTTCCCCGATATTCCGATCGACACTTTGAACACATTGGATCTTCCTTCCCTGCCCTCGCACATTCTGGGCTTGAAAAAATATGCGCCTGTCATTCTCCTACAAAATATCGCAATGAGAAACGGCCTTTGCAACGGAACACGGCTGATTGTCGACTCTCTCACAAATAACAGACTCCTTCACGGTCGCATCCTGCCATCCCTTCGGTCGGTTCTCCTCCCGCGCATCTTACTCTCGGTCACCGACATCACGTCCCTTTTCCCGTGGCAAAGACGCCAGTTCCCCGTTCGTCCGGCCTTCGCGATCACTATCAACCAGTCCCAAGGCCAATCTATCAAACATGCCGACATTGATCTTCACCAGCCCGCATTTGCACATGGCCAGCTTTATGTCGCAGCATCCAGAGTGGGTGACCCTGCCCATGTACGCTTTGCTCTGCCTTCCCCGCTTGACCGCACAACCAACATTGTGTACAAAGAAATCCTTAACTGAACGTCCTTCCCGAACACTCGACATACACAACATTCCCCGTCTCCCACACACATACACTGCCCGTTCATCGACACCAAAGACAACGAGAACACACATTACTGCCTCCATCAACAATACCAATCCACGCCCTCCGTCTTTTCCAAACTACATCTCTGGAACGGGGAAAAAAGAAACCGACAGAAATGCGCAATCTCGACACCGTCTTTAACCGCTTTGCCCCGCTTCTGTTTTTTCTCTACTCCTCGCCTTCCCCCTGCTCTCCTCCCTTTCCATTTGCTCCTGCCTTGCAGGTGCCCATGAAGACAAGCCGTCGCACAAGAAACCGAAAGCATCGTCCAAACTGTCGTCCTCAACAACTTCGTCTTCAAGATCCGCACCAATGCTTGCAACAACGACCACAAACACAACAATCTCGACGCCGTCAACTGCCGCCACAGCCTCTTCTGCTGCAACTGCGAAAACAAGTGCCTCAACATCGGCGACTACGATTGCAACATCGACTACGAAAACAAGTGCCTCAACATCATCACTTCCCGCCACGTCGACGATTTTACCTCTCGAATCTGCAACGCTGCCTGCAACAACGAGTGCAACTCTTCTCACTACATCGACGACAGCAATGATGAGTGCCTCAACATCAATGTCTGCGACTGCAACTACAACTACAAAGACAAGTCCCTCTACATTGACACTTCCCACCACATCGACGATTTCATCTCTCGAATCTGCAACGCTGCCTGCAACAACGAGTACACCTCTTCTCGCTACATCGACGACTTCATCTCTCAAATCTACCACGATGGCTGTGACTTCATCTCTCAATTCTACCACAATGGCTGCAACGACGGCCACAACTCTTCTCGCTGCATTGGCTTTATCCCAAATTCCTTTTGACGACGACGTTCTTGCCCACATCCCACTCTCGTCTCCTTCCTCCTCCTGTCGCGGCCTATCTTCAACACATCCACAATCCGCTCCTCTCACCATTTCCG